TATATATATATATATATATATAAATATAAGATATTTTTAAATTTTAAAATATGCAAATAATAAATAAAATTTTAAAATTTGAAATATGCAAATAATAAATAGTTTCTAATATTCAAATTAATAAGCTATAATGATCATTATGACATTATTAGAAATAAAAATTTTTGAACAAAAATAATTTATCTTTTCTTAGAATCATTATTTTATAATAGAGAATATGTGATATACACATAACATTTTTTTAATTATTAAATTATTACATATAAAATTGTCAATTTTACAAATCTATAAAATTAAAAACAATTCAAAAATAACGACAAAAATAAGTGACAAAAGTAAGTATATCAAATAATATTATAAATTGTTACAATGAATTTAAAGTTTGAGGATAGATACAATTTGAATATTATTTTATTAATTTTTTTATTATTCTTATTATAAAAAAAAAAATTACGTATTATAATAAATTATATTTCAAAATCAAATTCGAAAGATTTCTTATATAAGTTTAAAATTCAGTATAATATACCAGAATAAAAAAGTTATAACATTAACATAGAATTTTCAAATAAAATTGCATTAAAAAATCAAACAATATTCTATTGGTATAAAATATTATAAATGTTTATAATTTATAAATAATTATAAAAAATAAAGGAAGAAATAACATGTATTGATAAGAATCATTTAAATTAACTAAATGATAAAAATTTTAACTTTTTTGAAAAAAATAATAAATTTGTTCAATTCAAATTTTTACCATAATTAATCAATATCATTTTTAATAAAACTACAAATATTAAAACTTTTATATTAAAAATTCGATCGTTTCATCTGCAATAATGTAATACTTATAATATAGTTTTTTTTAGTATCAAATCACAATTATTCTTAGTATATTAAGTTTCATTTAATTATTTTTTATTTGTATTTCAAAAAATATTTGAAAATTCTCTAATACAATTGAATCTCTATACAATGGAATTTCTATTAACGAAACATTCATTAAATTTAAATATTTTAATATGTGAACATTCTATTATCTGAATTATATGCTATTTCTATTTATAAATGTAACTAAATGTAAACAGACATCTTTTTTTATCATAGTAGCGGAAATAGAATTTAATTTGAAATTAACGTTGGACATATTCACATAGTATATATATGATATATATGATATATATATATGTCATATGATATATATGACATCAAAACGTAAATGTTCAATTATTCGAAACGAAAACGGAAATCCTTAAAAAATTAATTCTTATCTTATAATGACGCCTTTAAAACGTCATGGATTTCAAATACGTTCTAATAATTGAGTTGTTAGAAAGTTATCTATTTATTGCGTTCTATAAAAATATCAACAATTCTGAATATATTTATCTTCATTTTATTTTATTTTAACCAATTAATACATGTATTTGTTTTGAATAAAATTAAATAATACTTTGATTTAACATTTCTTGATTAAATTATAAAATAAGGAATCAAGAAACTATAAGAGTATTACAGATTTAGTAAAAAAATATAAAAATATTGGAAAATCCATAATTAGGATTAAAAAACAAAAAAGTGAAAATTATTTATATTTAAGTACATCAACATCAAATGTATCTTTCGATAGAAAATGCCGAAAAATGAAAATGAAAAATGAAAAATAGAAAAATCTCAATTTTACAAATGAACATATTTTCCTTAAAATATAAAATAATTTATTTATAAAAATTATGTTGTTCAAAAATTTTTTTATTTTTTATTTCCTTAACAATCTTGTTTCATTATTTTGGATAATGGAAGTTATATTGCAATTTGAAAATCTGAATAATATTATAATTTTATTAATTTCTTTCATTTGTTATAAATCTTCTATAAATATAAATTTTCAAATTATTTGCCATTTATTTTATATTTTTATTTTTGTGATTTTTAAACAAATTTATTTTCTGAAAGCTAAAATTTATTTCTATAAGTTAAACTTTTATCATTATCATTATAGTACTCGAAATAATTACATAAAAAATAGATTTTATCTTTCTTTTTCTAGATAAATTTTCCTTGATTTGAATTTTTATTAAAAAAATTCTTAGAAAAATATTAATCTTTTTGTACAAAATTAATCTATTTAAAATATTAATCTATTTGTACAAATTTGTTGAATTTTATTGTGACAAGATAATCTCCAATTCGAAGATTTTAATTTTATATCCAAGATTCACATTATTGAAATTTAATTATAAATATTTTTAAATAAAAAATACTTTATAATTAAAGTATTTCTAATTTTATCTAATTAGTATTATAGTTTTTTTTTTACTAATATTATAAATATAACTTCATATTTATAAACAAAATATACTTATATATTTTCGAATAATGAAATAGTACATAAATATTTTTAGACAATGTTTTAATATATATGTGTAATTAAATTCTAATATCGCTTAAACACGAATATGAAAGATATATTGTACAAATATATTCTGTAAACGCTTTCTTTCAGCTTTATGACTATTCAAATTTAATTATTAGAAGTTTTTTACTGGAGAAAGTGGTTTTCTTAAATGCTTAAATAAACTCTTATTCTTATCCCATAAATTGCTACACATAGAAAATTAAATATATTTTAATATTTCAATTATTAGAAATGTAAAATTTAAAAAAAAATGCAAAAAGAATTATTTCAAAAAAATAAATTTAATATAAAATCTTTAAAAATATTTAAATCTTAAAAAAAAAAAAAAATAAAAACGAATAAAAGACTCTATTTTTTTCTCAAACAATTTAAAAATATCTTCTAAACAGTCTTAAATTGTACTGCTTCGTAATACAGCTAATAGTTATAATTAATTGTCTATACTTACTTTATTTATTTGCAGTTGGCTGTGTTTCGTAAAATTCAATCCAGTGATGGAAGAAATTTAACACATAATTTCCGTCCGGTGCAACCATTAGATGGTAGAATAGTTTATCGTAATGTCCCAACTTCCATGATTTCCGGAACTACTATTATTACAGATTCTAAACAAACGACGAATAGTTCTAAAAAACTAAAGCCAACAAAACAATCTAATGAAGAAAATTCTCATAAGAAAGATGATCATAATGGACAACAAAGCATGTGGACCGTATCATGTTTGTATCTTTTTTAGGATTACAATTTATTTTGATAATATGATTAAAAACATTTTTAATTAAAATTAAAATTGTAAGATATACATTAATCTTGAAAATAGTTAAATAGAACTAATTCCTATAATGAAAAATATAGGAATATATATTTAAAAAATAATTGTATATAAATAATAATATAATATAATAAATAATATGAATATATGAATAATTTGATTTTATTTTTGTTGCAGCATTTGGAGTGATACTTGGGCTTATTTTTCTTTTACAATATCAATAATACACTGGAAGCTTTAATCAATTATTTTGACTTTTATGTAATTTAAAATAATTAATAATAAATAAGTAAATTAAATAATATTATATTTAACATTAAACTATTTAATATTATATTTAATGTTGTGTATTTACACAATACTTTTTGGTGCAAAAGAATTTATGAAATTATTAAATATCTTTATATTTAAAAGATTTTATTATTTAAGATATTTATCATTTTTAAGATAAAAATGAAAATAAATGATTTTATTTTTAATTAAATATATACTATCATTTAATTGTAAAAGCATCTTAAATAATGTACATATATATATATACTTAAAAAATGTATTCTTATATTATTATTAATATTGACTGATTGTAAGTACTACAAACACGATACTCATATAATCTTTTTTTTGAATATGATAATTAAAGCAGTAGAAATAGAAAATAAATAGTAATTAAATTTGATTATATTTATTTGATAAACAAGGAAATATTATATAAATATTTATAAAAATGATTGTATACCAAAAATATTAATATATGTTTATTTAATAGTTCCTACTGCTGCTATGATAATATATGTATTTTATTGAGTCTTTTGGTAAATTGTATTTTCTCACAAATATGTTTATAAAATATATTATATTAAAATGCTTACGACTTAGATAATAATAAAACAAATTATTAATAATGCATTTTATTTATTTCTTACAATTTCGTCAAAATTTTTTACAATTTCATAAAATATTTTATAAAAATTTTATAAGACAAAATAATATTAATTAAATATTATAATTAAATATATACATACATATTATATACATATACATCTAAAAATTATATTATTAATAACATTAAGTTGATGATTCTATTTAATCTTTGGTTGCCATATTCACCACAGCAGCTAAATCATGCTGCCCTTGTTTAAGACGTTCTCTTATAAGTTCTGCTATTGCTTTTTGAGTTCTCCTTTCTAATTTTTCTAATTTCTTAGCAACATCTCGTTTTAAATCCCAATCTGGTTTTCTAGGGGCAAGATTGCTGATATCCTAAAAGATAACAATAAAATAAAATAAAAACAAATATTTTAAATTGTTGTAAATAATTACTTACAAGTTCTTCAATAACAACTTTCGTATTTGCAGCACTTAATTGATCTTTTACTTCCTCTTCTACATTGCCTGGCTTCGCATCTTCTAATACTTTATCTTTGAGACTTTCATCCTGTGGTTTATAACTTCGAAATTTTGGCCTGTCATATTGAAATAAATAAAATACAAAAATTAGTATTAATTATTAAAGGTTAGTTAAGATTAAATTTGAATATGAATAAAATTAAAAAAGAAAAAAAACACAAAACTTACTTCGGTAATTTACTAGCACTTTCACTTTTATTTTCTTTATTTTCCTCAGTCTTCTTCTTCAAAGCTTGTAAACGTTCTTTTCTTTTTAAAGCTTCTTCTTCTAACGAACCTATTTTATCTTCCGCCATATTTGTTTTCTTATACTTTATTATAAGTGGCGTTAATACGTATAAATTTTAATACAATAAATATAAAATTGAAGGTTCTTTTATATTATTTAATTTATGTTAAAATGAGTAGATATGGGTATAAAATTCGATGTCAATAAATCAAAATATGAAAAAAATGCAATAATTGTCTTCTGATATTTAACAGAATTGCCGAAGAATATTTTACCGCGTAAAATATATTATAAGGATTGCCACAATTGAAAAAGTAAAAGAAAGTAATAAATACTAGTAACGGAACTTAAAAAATAGAAGAAATAATGGGAATTTTTTATTTGTATTCTCAGAAATACAATTCTCAGAATAGGGAACGTATTCAAATAACATAATAGAACACCTGTTATTTCTCTCATTTCTAATTTTAAGTTACATTAGCATTATTTCTTTTTTTATTTTTCTAATGGTTATATTTTTTTCAGTCCTATCGGTATATGTAGACTAATATAAAGAAAAAAAGGAAGAATAAACTAATGAAATTTGACTTATAAAAAAAATAAATGAACTAATTACTAACTAAAATTTGCCTTGCAACATGATACAATGATATCAGTATCGCCATCTAACTGCTATTTCTTAGTACTAATATCAGATCGTTGAAATATAAAAATATATCATCAAATTTTTTTCTTTATTATTGCCTATATTGATGATGTCAGTCATACTTTATGTGAAATATTTTCTATTTAAATAAGTATTTAAATTAATGAATAATTTTTTTAAATATTTTTATGAATAAAAAAATAGAATGGCTACGTATAAAAAATATGAAAATAGAAATAAAAATTATTTTGTTTTTAATAAGATTTATTTTATAAAAATTATTATTTTTCGAAAACATTTTTTTATAAATTGAAAAAGAATTTATAAATAAGAATTTTATATAATGATGGAATTACTGACTTTTTATATTATGATTGTATTATAAATATGATTGTATTATTATTATATCATATACATTAAAAATTAAGATAATTTTCTTATATTTTCATTTATAATTAAAAATGAGCTAATGAATTAAATTTATATATTATATATTATTAACACATATATATTTATATAATAAAATGATATTTTTATATTATAAGTATTTTAAAAAATACTTTATTTATTAACAATTCTTCTAAGAATAAATAGATATTTTTTCTTTTTTAAAGAAAAAAAGATAAAAATTGATTTGATATGAAAAAATTAATCAACAGTAATACTTTTTAATCAACAATAATACTTTTTTAAAAGAATTAGTTTATTAATATTTTTACAAAAGTTTATAATATTTTAGCTTCAGATAAATTATAAGTAAAATATATCAATTATGTCTAATATTATAAGGTATACCTATATACCTTAATATTATATTAATTTATATATAATATAATATAAGTTCAAATCTTAACATAATGTTTTAAAAACAACTTACACATTTATGTTTCTTATGTATATAATTTATGTATATAAATTTTTATTCGTTTCTTTGTATAACATACATACGTGTTTCATTTGATTCTTTTCTTTACACAATAACATACAATTACACAATTAAGTGTTCAACAAAATATATTAAAATAAAATAATTTCTATATATAAATTTCTACATGTAAATTTTTTTATAATTTGTATTATTTGTATATCATTATTTATAATAATAATGTCTAATATATTCATAATAACTTCGAAAATAGTAAATAATTATTTTATTGTCATCAAAAGTTTTAATATTTAAAATTATATCGTAAAATCGCACAATAAATATATATAATTCAATAATTGTTTCTGTTATGAATTTATCCTTACAAAATAATTTATTCGAAACTAATGATATCATGTATCAAAATTTCTAATTGAAAACAAATAATATATATATAT